AAAGTGACTTAGTTGAAAGTGGGAGGGCGGAAGAAAAAAAAGGGGAAAAAAAAAAAAAGAGGGAAAAAAGAAAAAAAGAAAAACTGTGAAAGATTATGACTGAACACGAGTAACGCCAACCGAGGAAGGAAGAATCCCATGCCCAACCTTCACATCGTACGGCCGCTCCATAAGCCCAGCCGCTTTGCTACCGAATTCCTGGAAATGTGGACTGAGCAGATGCATGTGGAGCGCATCCTGGTCTCTGTACCTGTTGGTCCATGAGCTATCGGACCTCAGACTAGCCAGCGTGGTTCAGACATACCTTTCCACGACCATTATTTCATTTCCATCTTTTATAGAGAAGGCGTAGTAAACTAACGTATCGGGCTCGGTAGCATGTACTTGACGGGTGAGTTCCGAGATATGACTTGAGAGCTAGTGACATTATTCCTTGTCAGCTGCCAATTTCACAAAAGAGAAGTCGGATGCATCATATAAAGCAATGCATATCAAATATTAAGCCGTAGTGGTGAAGGGCACTTAACTTACTTCGTCATGCTTGCCGGGCTTAGGGTACATGATGGCCACCACATTCACCTCTTCAGAAGCCATTCTGCGATTGTCAGTTACTGGGGCTGCCAGTCTGATTGAGAATATGTAAGAGAGATGATCCAGACCACGCAGGAAGCAGAAGGGATGTCATGGTCGACCGACAGGACATGCGGGGGTGGGTTTGATTCATCCCTGCGCGATGACTAACCATATTGGTATGTGGTTTATGAAAGCGGTTGGACCCCCAACTGCTATTGCATTGCATGTCTAGCTAAAAAGGTATATACAATGAATCTGGTATCCACAATGAACTTTTTCTTTTGATTTTCCCTCTTACGTGAAACGTTATTAGGGTCGAACGAACTCCCGCCCACATGGTGATACACGAGTACGTCTACATAACGGGAGGAGCAACAAACGAGTCCGGAATGCCGTCAAAAACCCAATTGAGAGAATCAAACACTTCGGAAAATCCGACCTCGCTGATAAATGCTCCTCCTTGGTCGAAGTTGGGTGCGTACATCAACCCGGGGTCCTCCAGTGAATCGTCCTGTCGAGAAACAGGTCCAGCCGTCGCCGACAGATTCGGGTTGGCTAAAGAAGCTGCGCCAATTAGCTACATGTATGAGGAATAAGGAAAGACAGGAAAATGAGGAGACATACCTTGAGCATCTTCGACGCTCTTGATCGGCCGAAACCGTTGCCGCCAACGCCAAACGGTATCATAGACGTGGCTCATACTCATTCGGCAGCGCACCTTCAGCAGTAGAGCCTCCTCTCCGCTGGGATCGGAGCCCCCCGCATTCCACATCTGAGCCAAAATATCGGCCAGGCGCACTGGACGGTCGTGATCCATGACGCTTATTCGCCGAATGGCCGAAATAGCCCCGTTGAACAGAAGCTTCCCATGATCGAAGTCGATGTGGCGGCTAAAGTCACTTTTCAACAGCTTCATCAGGGCAAACGCAGCAGACACGATCATTTGAAGAATATAATTAGTCGCATGGCCAATTAGCTCCCCAGGAGATGTTTCGAGATCTAATACTCGTCCAAGGAATGACGTGGTGGCAATGAAGAGTTTCGTTAAATCGTCGCTTCGTGGGTTAGAACCTAAAAATACAAAGTACCGCAAATGCAGCTCAGCTGCTCGTAGATGGATCATGTTGATGTCTAACGGAGACCATATTAGACCTCATTCAAAAACAGTGGGGTGCAAACGTGACACTTACTAGAAATATCTCGGCCAAGATCGACCTCCATGTCTCTCAGCTCATTTTCCAACAGCTGCACAATCAACAACTTCTCAGAGCTAATAAACTCCGCAGGTTCAGGTTTACTACTGTACAATGACTTCGTCACTCGATCACAGAACTTCTCGATACGCAACCGAGTTTGAAGGTCATGGGAAGGGTGATAATCCGCGTCTTGGAGAGACGCTGGCTCGAGCGCCCAGTCGTAGATAGTGCCAGGCGGTTGCCCGTAACCAGTAGCAACACTAGTAACAGTGAGCAATAGCGCTACGGAGCATCACCGTAGAACAAGATTACTTACTTTTGAGCTACAATATTACATATGGCCCATGTCTGTATTCGATCTTTTACAGCCTCCCCTTGGACTTCCATACGGAAGGTTGTGAACTCCTCCGGTTGCACCGGCCGGTGCAACCCCAATTGCATGGCAATCTGCATCATCAATCCGCTAAGCATAAAGGTCGCGTCGGTTCTTTGACTTGTCGTGGGGAGCGGCCACGTGCAGAGAAGACAAAGAGCTTTCACCACACGATAGTCCTGCGGAATTCCGGTAATAGTCGACCACAGGAGCCGACTAAAGGGGCCAGAGAGTGCAGTGAGAAGACCAGGCTCTGATGGAGCCCTTCGACTTGCGACACAGATAATCGTCCATGCCTGTAAGGGGCAACGACGAAGATACTCTTCAGGGGGCTTTTGAGGATTCAAAAGCGGCAGGAAGGGATGATAATATTTGAAGTACCTGGCCTAAAGTTAGGGCTGACAGGGGCCTGGATCCAGGGAAGGAACTGATTACTGTTCAAATAACCGTGCGACTCTTGGTCGGGGCAATGAGACGTCTTCTAATCTCCACATATTGTCCTCCTGGGACATAATGGAAGCACCCCTCTGGATGGTTAAGGGGGTTGCCAGAGGTTGCGCTTCTAGCGGAGCAGATAGGGTTCGTGTTCTGTTCGAAACGGCCGAATCAGGGCCACAGAACACCTCTTCTGAGCATGGAGATAGCTCATCGCTCACTGTTGCTTCCACGCCATGAGGATGATCAGCAGAAGTAGCCAGTCGTCGACGGAGCTCTGCGATCTCCTTTTCCATCTCTGCATTGCGCCTGTTTAAAGCACAGTCAGCCATGGCAGGATTCGCTTGGATTATGATTAGATGGTCAAGTTCTACCTTCTTTTCGAAATGCGCTTGAAGCTAGGTTCGACCTTGCATTCTATTTGAAGTCGCCGACAGCGTGAGCACGCTGCGGCGGGCGTCTGTACGATATCACACCGCAACTACGGTGTTCGAACCCCCATGTTTAGCCAGTGGTTCGTGATGAAGAGATAGTAAGGAACAACAGTGGAGGCCAAGGCGCCAGAATTAAGAGGCGCGATACGCTTATTTTATCTGGAGGGAGATAGGCTAGAGGAGAGAAGTGGAGGATGCAGGCTTACCTTTTGCTGTTTACACTCATTACAAGCCTTTCTACTACCACCCCGGCGCTTCCCCGTGATTGGGGGAATCTTCTCCATTTCGCAAGGTTCGGAATTCCTGGCTGATAGATCGAAACCTGTGACGGGCCGGGGCATTCTGGGGTTGTTCCGAAGGTCGCTGGGGGTGCCCGAGGGCGTTAAGAGACTCGCATGTGTAGCCAGCCCATGCGGTGCCATGACACCCCGGAACTCCAGGTCCATCAGTATAAATCAGACGTCGCCCGCCGGTATGGAACCGCGGGGCCCATTAACACATGCAAAACGAAGAGGGAAACGGTCAAGGAACCAAAGGTTATGTGCCGGAAATCGGAAGAAAAGTTTAGGTGTTGAAGTGTCGCGAAACTCGGCGGTTGCTGACGGGCTGACTCATCAGTTGCCTGAGGCACTACTACGGAGTACCATACCTACGAAGCAGTACTTATTTGTGTAGCTGATTTGAGCGGATTTCCACTTCTCCAGTTCCTCTACATACTCCATGGATACTTGTACACCATACTGATCAAATCATGATATCCACTGTATTTAATACGGTGCCCATTGCTTATTTACCATCATCCGCCCTTGCTATAGTACAACGAATCATGCCAGATAGCTCTCAAGAGGACTAACCTTTCTTCCACATGTATGAATATGGACCTATACTCTCAGCCAAGAAATGCATCATACTCCGTACTACTTCTAGTAGTAGTACTATCTGAAGGTCACGGGAAGACAGAATATCGAAGCCTAATGACGTCTGTGACACTGCCACATCTTGCTTAGAACACTAATCCGAGAAGCGTAAGGTGTGTATGATTTTTGGTACCTGAACCGCAATTTATCTAAATTAGGTACATTCTGCCTCCACCCCCACCGCCCGACCATTACAGTATGCTTCCAAACTGCTTTAACCAACACTAACTTACGTTATCCGTTGATGCTATCATTAGGCTTCCGCGCTCTACAAAACCAACTTCATTTCTATCTTTCTGCTTCCAGTGTCCTGATCGTTTTCTCTATCATTCGCTGCTCGTATTGTTATTCTCTATGGCAGACGTCAGTCTCCACGATGGGCCTGCGCCTTCTGCGCCCTCCCCGCGAGATGCCGATGCGCCACCAGCAAGTGCTGATTCCGCAGTCCACTCGGTGACGCCGGCGATCTCGGACGAGCTCAAAGCTCGTATGGACAAAGTTGTTTATTCAGACGTAAATGATCATCTATTAGGTTCAATCGTTGAATTGCTAGATTACTGATTCGGAATTGTATTACATAGATCGGTATTACCACACTCCTGACCCGGTTGAAACAGAGCGTCGCCTCGGCTAGGGTTCGTCCATGGATCCGCGACCCCTTAATGTGGCCATATCGCTGACCACAGATAATCCAGGATTTCTCAACTTTCCTCAAAAAGCGATCTTCTCTAGAAGAGGAGCATGCTCAAGGCCTGCGAAAATTATCCCGCTCTCTCCTCGATGCTTCCGTCCGCACCGATAACCGTCAAGGAACCTATAGCCAGAGCCATAATGACCTGAGTCGATTCCATGACCGCATGGCGGATCATGGACTACAGTTCGCGGTGTCCCTACAACAGATGGCTGATAATCTTCACGAGTTGGCGTCAAATATCGAGCGAGGTCGCAAGCAGTGGAAACAAACCGGTCTGAATGCGGAAAAGAGAGTGATGGAGGCGGAAGCAGCAGCGGAGAAAGCGAAGGCTAAATATGAATCGCTTGCGGAGCAATACGATCGGGTGAAGACAGGCGATAAGCAAGGTGGAAAATTTGGTCTGAAGGGTCCAAAGTCGGCCGCTCAGCATGAGGAAGAGCTGTTACGCAAAGTTCAAAATGCAGACTCGGATTATGCGTCCAAGGTGCAAGCTGCCCAAGCAGCGCGGCAGGAGCTGGTTTCCACCCACCGACCTCAAGCTGTGCACAAAATCCAAGAATTGATTACACAATGTGACTCTGGCCTTACATTGCAGATGCAAAAGTTCGGTACGCTCATACCTTCTCGATATCCATAACACCACGTTTTCGTTACTGACTATGCTTAGCAACATTTAATGAGAAGCTCTTGCTGGGCCAGGGATTGTCTATCAGCCCTCTGAAAGATAGTGCGGGGAATGCCGCTACCGCACCGAAGAGTCTCTCTGAAGTTATCCAAGAGATTGATAATGAGAAAGACTACCGCGATTATGTGCTGAGCCATCAGAATAATCCTGGGGCGGTAACTTCGGAACAGATTAAGTATGAACGCCATCCGGTAAGTTCCATAAGCCCCGGCTTTGTCTCTATCTATTAACCCCTACCCTTAGACCCTTGGAGGTACTACTGGGCCTGTTGTTCCGGCCTCCCAAACCACTACACAAAACAAACGCAATTCGTCAATGTTGCTTCAATCGTTTTCCCAGCAACATCTTCCGGCTCAGTCTTCTCAACAATCCCCCGCACCAGCACCAGCACCAACTGCAGCTCCCATTCCAAGCACTCAGCAGTCATCTTACCCTCACAATCCAGATTCATACTCATCCTCAACACTCCAGCCGCCGTACCCGGTGAGCGACGGCCCAGCTGTGCCAGAGAAGCAACCCTTAAACCCGCCATCCATGGCAACGGGACCGAGCCCGTTACCACCAGCTGGAGGAACTTCAGGAAACTTCCAGCAGCATCTTCCCCCATTGAAACCAGTCTTTGGAGTTTCCCTGGAAGATTTGTATTTGAGAGATGGAACTGCCGTTCCTATGATTGTCTACCAATGCTTCCAAGCTATTGAACTTTTTGGTTTGGATATGGAGGGCATTTACCGACTTTCCGGAAGTGCGAATCATATCAACCAGATGAAGCAACTTTTCGACAATGGTGGGTTAGCCCTTGCCACGCAGCTGTGGAGATATCGCTCTAACATTTCATGATCAGATTCATCGCAGGTCGATTTTACAAATCCGGAAAACTTCTATCATGACGTGAACAGTGTTGCTGGATTACTCAAGCAGTTCTTTAGAGATTTGCCTGACCCTCTGTTCACGTCGCAATCTTATTCTGACTTCATCAATGCAGCCCGTAAGGCTATAAATCTACGATTTCAAGACGTTCTTTATTTTATGGTACTAACGTATGCTTCAGGTATTGACGATGATGTTCAGCGTCGAGACTCGCTTCATGCGCTTGTAAATAGTCTTCCAGATGCGCACTACGCCACATTGAGAGCCTTGATTCTGGTATGTTCTTCTTAGCCCCATGCCTTCTAGAGTCCAAAATCTGATCTACATAATTTTAGCATCTCAATAAGGTGCAAGAACATTACACCCAGAACCGTATGAACGCAGGAAACATTGCCATCTGTTTCGGGTAAGCCAAGGTATTCAAACTGTTGGGTGCCGGGTGAAAGCTAACCATATATTCTGTTATTAGGCCTACTCTCATGGGCGCCAGTTCCGGCGGCAACGTCGCCGACGCTGGTTGGCAAGTCCGTGTTATAGAGACGGTTCTTTTGAACACTTTCCAGATCTTCGACGATGATTAGTCGTGCCCGAGAATAAAAGGCCATGATCATCTTTCTTCTTTTGCCTTGCATTGCACACCATTTTTTTTTCTCTAACAAATGTATATAGTGATATTTGGACCGGTGAAATATCCTGATGAGATATCATTACTTCCCTATAATGTAATTCTAGTGGATTTAGCGCAATCACTTCCTCTTCAGTTCAGTTTGATCATGACACGTTCTTTCTATGGTTGAATTGATGAGGCCTATTGGATAATTACAAGATGGAAATAACAGCAACAATCGGATATAGTACAAATGGTGAAGTGTGGCAATGCGAAGTTCTTTGAGAGCCCGCTGAATGGTGAGAATGCAAAAACCCGGAACATGGGTAGTTTTAAGACACGGGTAGAATCGAAGTTGGCTGTCAGAGGCACAGTATGATCCTGTAAGGGAGAAAGATGAGGTGAGATGAGATTCTCAACGAAAAGCTAAGGCACTTTTTGTACGTCGTGACGAGGCAATGGCATGCCTCCCGTTCATTCTGGAGATGAGCGCCAGGAGTGCCATTTGGCGGGTAAATATATGGCTACTGGCGTATTTTCTGCGTATGACGGGGCTTATTTCTTTCCTTGAAATTGTTCCTTCATGGCTTCCATACGCTCCGCAAACGTCAGTCCGGAGACGAACATGGGGTTAGCGAGATCTTCCACGGTGGTAGGCGTAGCGTGGCCCCAAATGCGCCAGTCCTCATCCTCGCCATACCACCGAAGCTTCTGAAGAACGATGTATTCGGTGCAGTCTTGCTGCTTAGGCGGTGCGGTAGACTCGACGGAGACTTCGGACTTGCCTGTCTTGACCACCTTGGACTTCCCAGTGGACTGTCTGCTTGTAATACGCACCACGACCTGTCGCACTCCAGAATCGGGGATCTCGGGGATTTGAGTAGCACGGTCAGACAAGACACGGATTCCGGTGAGAAGAGTTGCTGGAGTGCGGTTGTATTTGTCAAGAGACCAGCTGACCTTCTCATCCCTGGGGCGATTGGCGATACGGGAGGAAAGGTTGTTGGCGAGGCCGGTGCAGCAAACCTTGCGCAAGGTACTGATGTCTCCCCTATGTGACGGACGGTATCATCAGCATCCCAGACACCCACGTCGTGTGGATTGGGTAAAGCTTACTTGGCGAACGCAGAGTACATGCGCTGATGGAGCTCACGAGCAGCCTGTCGACGCTCCTTCAGGCGGAGTGGTAGTCCTGAATTGAACCATTTGCAGTAGGCAACAAGACTGTCCGCCAGTTAGTTTCTTGCACCATCCCAGCAGACCACTTCCGCGCTTTTGATTGTCGTAAAAGACGAGAATACAACGGACAGTGAAAGGTAACAGCATACCCCAAGAAATTTTGGAATCCTGACTTCAACCAAAGCCACTCCAATTGCAGACGCTCCTGCGGTTGTTGAAAGATCGAAGGCATATCCCTCCAGAGCGGGCGAACGTATGTGCCTGGCAGCAACCCAATATCCTGAGGCAATTCAGACCTTGATAAACCCATCCCCCTCGTCGCCATGCTCGGTTGAGCTGGTTGCTTGATGGCAATGTTTTCAGGAATTCCCCGCATGGCACTGCGTTGGGGCGAGTGTGAAAAGAACCGGCATTGGCATGAGTACAGTTGGAAAACGACGTTATTGGAGCGGACAGCCGTAAAGACGGGCCCCTTTGACAGCGAGGATGCCATTGTGAAGAAAGGCCACGAGAACCTCGAGCAGAATGAATAGAGAGTCGAGTTGGAGAGAACCAATGATCAAGACCGCAAAAGAAATCCCGACGGATGGCTCACGTGATATCAACTCCGCCTGCCGTTTCTCAGTCCGTTCGGCCAGCTGTGCTTCTCCGATTCGCACGCTAGGTCATGGCGTCGACACTATCGGCAGCTTCCTGAAGGACGGATCTATCGCTGGCACATGAAGTCGTCTTGTCTTTGACTGTGCGCTGTGCTGTGCTGCTCGGAACCCGACTTCTTGTCAACAATCCGTCATCTTCGCGGATAGAAACCGACCTTATCTACGGGATAGTCCTCGATAGGATTGACTCCTATCGTTTTCAGTCTTTGTTCTCTCACCAGTTTCTTAATCCTTCTGCGCAACGGCCGCATATGCCGTATCATAAGGCTGGCTCCTCCTCGTGATGCTCCCCCGCCCTTCTCTCCCCACGCCCGACATCCCCCTGAAGCTGTCCGTTTGAGTACTCTCGATCCGGACTTGCGCTCGCAACTTTTGGCCTCAATCTCCAACTTCCCGGCGGACGCCTACGAAAAAGAAGTGGCTTCCCCAACCGCCGCCGCTGCTATCGTCCCGCCGTCCCCCGACCCCTCTACTCCCCAGACCCCCAACAGCAATGATTCCGGTCACGCAACGGTTCCCTCCGCCTTGCATCCGCGAGTGGCTGTCATCTTGGGAGTAGACCGGAAGTGGTACCTCCCTCTCCTGATCTGTCGGGCACTGAGCACGGTGCCGGCAGCATGGTGGGGGCTCCGGTGTGCCTTCACCTTCCTGGCTGAATTACTCCACATCCAGGCGGGAATGGGGCATGAGGGTTGGACGGCGGCGATTGTCGATAGTGTCAATCAAGAGTGGGATGTTGAAAGAAGATTCCGGGTGACCGAGGTGGCCCTGGCGATTATGTGGGTATGTATGAGCCTCTCTGGCGGGAGAATTATGGGGATAGAAATCCCACGCAAATCCCAACGTCCACGCACAAGACCATCTTTACGGAACAGTGAACTAACGCATACCTACTCTAGTGCTGTGCATCCGCTTACCTTTCGTATTTCTTTGCTGATTGTATGATGTCTCGATGGTGAGTTTGTGTCTCAACCCCTCTATATATCTATATCCCAGCCTGAGACTTATATTCATTCTACAGGCTTTTGAATTATACCCCGCCGGCTGTTGTTATTCGTCTCCTTACCACCAACGGATTGATTGCTTATATCTCTTCATGGGTCCTCTACCTTTCGGGTGCATCATCAGATCCGCGCCTTCTCCTTCCGGCCTGGATATCCATCACAACCGTAAGTCTGCCACTTCACAACCACGCAGCTGAATTGAGAAGAATGACTGACGCCTTGCTTCCCCCATGGAGACCCTCACGTTCCTTTACCATGCCACCCAAAACCGCGCCATGATTAAGCGTGAAACAGCCGCAGCTCTACTAGTTGTTTCCGTTGCGAGTTTCGTGAGCATGTCCTCGCTTCTGCTTCAGTTACATCTGACTCGAGAAAATGAACCGGAAGTGCCCGTCTTTGTTATTACTCGGAAATTATGGGACTGGGCTGTTGCGATATTTCTTCGCATGCGGGTGGCGGATGATCGAGTTGGAGCGCGCGAGTTGTGATTGATGTTCCTGGAAAACGGGTCACTATAGTGAATACTGCGCAAGCAATGAAGAGCTCTTTTTTGCCTACTTTTTCTGATTTGTTACTCGTGATAACCGTTACATGTATTCCTATTGGTACTCTGAAGACCCACAAGCAAATTGCATATCGCATTGCATACATCCTATTCTGAGAAAGACTGTGTTGTGAGGACAAGTTCAGAAACAACATGTGGAAGACGTAGAGCGTAAGTGCAAACGAGAGATTAACCTTCGCACACCAGGTAGCCCTCCATAACATCCATCTGGCGACAGACCTCCCGACACGCATTTCTTCCAAGCCGAGTAACGACAGGGATGAGGCAAGAAACAAAAGAACATCTATGCATATATTTGGGTATCTACCAACGCCTCGTTCCGTCATAATCCCATTCCGAGTAGAGCAGTCGAGCCAACAAAGGACCCACTCCCATCAATCGCGTGCCGCAATTGTTTGGGATCAAATTAGACAGTGCTTAATAACGACAGAGGTCCCAGGTCCAGTACGCCGAGCACAGAGGGTTGAATGTAAAAGACAAGAAGCTTAACCGAACCACCTAGATGCTGCGATTGCATAGAGTGCAATGCAGAGTTAAGACGAAGGATAGGCGATACATGCCTTCTATCCAACCACTCCCGAGGGCAAAGTAGACTGGGAAGAAGGGATCGGAACGGGGCGCGGCGTCTCCTTTAGAAACCGTGGACCTTGATGGTCTTGGCATCCAGCTCGAGACCCTCCTTCTTGTCGGTCAAGAACTCCTGAACATCTTTACGCTGATCACCTTGCAGCTGAATCACCTCGCCCATCTCACTATCGGCGACGATGGTGCCATTGCAGGCTGCACATCCGTAAGTGTGTGCCCCTTGCGATTATTACATGGTGGCGGTGTAGTAGCAACTTACCGAACTTCTTCTTGATCACCTTTAAGATCTTCTTCTGATCAAACTTCTTAGGAAGACCCTGAACAGTAGTCAAGGTTTTTCGACCATTGCGCTCTGTAAAGGAGATATATCAGCAACAAATTCCAAGGGCAAGTAGAGCGATTCAACGGATAAAAGAAAATAAAAATTCCAGGAAGGAGAGACGACAGCTAGGAGGACATACGCTGAATCCGTATATGGATATAATTTTGAGACTGCTTGGTCTCGCCGGTGTCTTCGTCAGCTTCGGCGAAGGGGTCTGTGTAGAGCACGTGTCAGCCTCAGGCTCCTAAACAGGATTACCCCGCCAAAAATGTCATGCGGTACCGATCTGTGGACAAAGACGATCTGCAAACAATCAAGGCCAGATCCGTGACACAAAGCATCGGATAGACTTGCTGTAGCGACGCCTTTGCCCGTCCAGGGCGATCACCATGTCTAGGGGGTAACCATAGCTGGCATAAGGGAGGTGGCAAATTGGCCTTACCGAAGGTCTTGAGGTTTTCGATGGACATAAACTCGGCCTTTTCTCGAAACGGGCCCTTAAAAGCGGTTGTAGTATAAAAGCGAGGGGTAAGAGTAAAAACTCTGTAACTTGTAGCGATTGCGAGCGTTCGTAGAAGAGCTGAGGGGTGAGTGTGAAGGTGTTGTTGGGGAGAAGACAAGTGAGGAAGAAGAAAGAGCCTTTTGAGGGGCGCGACCCGATTTAGCGCCTCTGTGGGGGAAGGCGGTGAAACTGTGACTAATCTTCTGTGTAGCTCAGATGCGTGTCTTCATCCAGCTGATCGGCCAGATGATCTACTATTACCTGCAGTTCTGTGTGATGTTTCCTCTATATGAAAACATGATCCCATTCACATTGAATCCCATCGTGTGTGAAAAGACAACATGACTCAGAAACGGAAGAAAAAGATCAAGACTTGTATTAGACTAACTATTGATACAACGCCACGTGATCATGATGCACTACGTACTGTGGCAAATCGATGACCGCATGGACGTGGAGGTTCGGGTATCATCCTCACTTCAAAAACGTCCTACCCCTTTCTTCTTAGGTAATAAATATATGGAGTGGTATAGGATCATAATTCAATTTCCTCGAAAAGGCCAGACGGTCGGCAGTGTTCATGGGGAAGGGGTAGCCGTGGCAGCACCTGCTGGAACCGCCGGCGGAGGCATGAAGATAGGGAAATATGTCTGTGCCGTGTGAATAAGTACCAGGCCAGATCACTAGGCAAGAAGGATAGTTAGGGAGCTTGAGACGTACAACAACCAACGCCATCACTATATGTACATCAAAAGTTAGTATCTATCTTGGCCTTCACCAGCGGAAAAATGGAGACGAACAGGACATGAAAACGGACATATACGCGGGAGTAGACGCCGTCCTTTTCTGCTCGGGTGTTTCGCCGAGCCAATTTTGAAGCGAAAAGACGAATGAGACCCTGTATACTAGTTAGACATCTCCAAGGCTGATGCCAAGAAAGCAATTTTACCATCCGATCATCCTGAATATCAAAGCTTTGTCAGACATATGAACCCTAGTAGTGTGAGCAGATGTATACTATCTCACCTGTTACGAGTGAACATCTATGAAAAACTGTCAGCATCCTCGGACCGCGCAACCATGAGAAATCCGGATGTCAACCTACCGCGGCCATGGGCAAGGTGCTGGTCATTGCGCCTGGACCAGACCGTTAATAAAGCATTCCTCCCCAATTGATTCGTGTTGCAGATTGAATTATATACCAGACATATCGGCATCATCCTTGTTGGCGGGCGGGTCGACATAGGGGATGGCTGGAGTCGGAGAACAGCAATTAGTGACTACGTTTTCACCGTCACGAATGGCACGGGTTGGGAAGGGATTGTGAAATCAACGTACCGAGGTCTAACCTCCGCATGTCCTTTTTCGATGCCATCTTGAAACAGGAAGTAACCGGTGCTATTGTACAGCTTGTTGTTACGATGCTGGGAGAAAGACGAACTCGCCAGCCAAGCGGTCGTTGGCGCCAAGACTAAAGCGGCAGTTCATCGATTGGCCATTCGGCTTTATCTCTTTCTTTATCTCCCGTCAAAATGAACCATCATAAAATTATATGTAGTATGTATGTACCTACTAGTAGATCATGCACACCGACAGGGCAAAAAAAAAAAAAAAAAAAGATAGAATTGAGAGGGGTTTGATCTCCATGCTCTCGAGCTCGTAAAGTCGCCTTTATCTCTCACCCCAGGCTATTTTGGACCCAAAAATAAATAAATCAACATAAAAAAAAAAGAAAGAAAAAATGATCTGCAAAGTCCAAAAGGTAGTCATCCTTGCTCAAGAAACAAATCCCCGAAAGCCCAACCATGGCCTGCATCAAGAGTAGGGAACACTCCTGAAACAGAGATTGGCCTGAACAAACCTACTCAGAAAAGCAAACATCTTTCGACTGGGTTGGTCGGCCACACATACAAAGCACTCCTCGGTCTCAGCTAGCCATGTTCCATTCCAATTGGATCCATTGCTGGTGTGCTTGCGTATATGTCCAATCGCACATCAGTAAGGCACGGATCCATGGTAGCCTGGCATGGTTGCAGAATACTTGCTTTTCGTGCTAAATTTCTAGGTCTTTATGCAGATACAGCGTGTAAGTGTTTGTCCACTACGAGTAAATAATGTATGTTCGTGCGACGATCCAGTATCACTGCAGTCAGGGATGTTATGTAATATTGGCATGGGCAGTGACTGAGAGTGGTGTCCCATGGCATTCAGGCACCAACAACGGAGAGAGAGCATTGGTTGAAGTACGTCCTTCAAGCTTTACCGGACAGGACTCTGACATTAGTGTAAAAAAAAAAATATTAAATAAATAAATAAAAAGGAATGACCATTAGAAGAAAGAGTAAGGTAAGATATAATACGCACAATAAGCCAACCTTGAAATATCATAGACCATAGTGGAAATGCGGGGATAAAGAGGGTGAATCAGACAACCATATCATGCCACATTAAGGGATTGACATGCGGAGGAGAAGAAATTATCTGATGGCTCATTCAGAGTGAGTGGCGGGATCTGGTAGGAATGGATCGGCGGCTGTTTCTGACCACCAGAAAATGAAACTGAGAGAGGAAATTGGGTTTCTAGTAGAAGTATTGGGAGACGCAATCCATGGGATGTCATTCGTTTGATGCACAGGCTGTCTTGCCAACTGTCCATGGCCCAGTCGATAGTCCCGAATGGGGATGCAAATCATTGGTATCACTGCAGGTTATACGAGCGTACCGTACACGCTACTACAGATAGTATATGTATGTTGTATGTATGTCTGTATGTACTTACAGCATGTACGACTGCAGAGAAAGTGGATGACGAACTGAGAAAATACTAAGTATCTCCAGATGCCACCTAATTTCGGTATGTCCCAGACTTCAATAAATTCCCAAGAGGCAAAGAAGGTTTTGTCAATGCCATCATTCTCGGAATTAGTTACTCAACATTGTTCCATAAGATATCTCCGATTTTCGAGAATGGGGCAATATGGGGCCCATCATCTGATTGCCAAGAGACCCATCGATTTGCCGGAGAATCCGAGGATGACCCTTTTAGTTGGGTAATATTATCGTCTCCAGTTATCCATTAGTGCCGTTGTTCGTGTATGTCCTTCTATTGCCCTATTACCTGTAAGTGTAATTTTCTTTTCTTCGCCTAAAAGAAAAAAAAGGGTATGGACCCCGGGTGGATAATGGATATATAATATAACAGTCATGCGGGTAAAATCTGATGCAGCTCCATGGGGATGTCACCGGTATGAAAAGGAATACAGACAGTACCGAAGAAATAATCTGGGTGTACACCTGACTTTCTCCTCATTTCTTAAGAATCTGACTCCAGACTATTAAATACTATATCCTGCGTCGAAAAATGAAATTAGAAACAGACAAAGAACAGCGAATATCAGGAGGGAATCTATGAGCGATCACAATTCGATTTGCATGAATCTCTTTTTAGACTCCTAATAAGGTTAAAAAGTACAGACAATCAGCTTTCAAGCCTAAGACGCATTCGGCATCCGGTATTACGCCAGTAATGGATCCATGTTTATCTCACTCACACTGTGTCAATCCCGCGGTAATTACCCGTCATCCGGTACACTTCAGTCCGCCCCCTCCCCCTAGCGTACTAGGAGTAGTAAGTACCAGACGGTCCCATAACTCCGGACTGTTCCATTGTATGTATCCATGTACGGATGATACCCAAGAAAAGACGGACTGCCAGTTGGTCCTTCCTTACGTTATCTGGAGATCTTCGCTATCGTTCGCCGTACTCGGCTTTTCCCCCAATTCCCTTGTCCTTCTCCTTCTTTGTGTTCTTCTTTTCTTTCTACTTCGCCCTTCTTCAATCAAATTTCCAGCCTCGACCCTTCGTTCGCGTGTCTCGCGGTCTTCAGTGCCGACTTTCCCGCCCCTACTTGATCCGCACCGATTATTTCCCGACCTTTAACCACTTTATCCGCTCACCTTGCATTTCCCGGCGTCGTTCCGGTGACAGATTGGTAGGAAGCATATAAACGGAGCTGGGACATCTCGATTCTTTTAGAGAGTCACCAACGACCGTTCGCGCGAGTTTAGTCCGGTTGATCGGTCATATTCTGTTGTTCCAATGACCAACCTCCGGCGCGGTGATACACCATGAAGCTGAGATGATACCTCATTCTTCTGCCGGCGTCCAATCGTGGGGTCATCCCCTGCGCGCCGTCAACAGCGGCTCTGGACATGTTGATGCTTCTCAAGCCGTGGGACCGTCCGACCCTCAGTTCGAAAAGCTACCAACACCTGTGCCGCAGCCGCAACCCAGACAGCCGGCAGTCATCGACCTTACAACGAGTGGTGGTGATGCACAAGAGGTGGAACCTCCGCCAAAAAGACTTCGGCTGGATTTACCTATAGCACCCTCCACCCAAGATGCGAGTCCTGCGCCGGGGAGCGGTGGAGAGCTGAGAAGCACACCAGGAACGGGTGGCTCAAAGCCTCCCTCACTTTCTTGGCGCAATCGGCCGGTATGGTCCTTCCAGGCTATGCTATCCGAGGTGCCGGGGAGCAATGTAATGAATGAGGAAGATGCGACAGCTGTCGCGCAGGGTGGGAAACCTGCATCGCCACCTTCTTTGCCGGTTTTGCCTTGGAAGTATGTTCCCGAGTCGCTGGGAAGTAATCCCCCAACGTCACGAGCTACTTCACCTGTGAAGGAGGTGCAGACGATCCCCTATCGTATTGAGACTCCTTCCGTTGCGCCTGTACTTAAAGGAGAGAGTAAGTTATCCTCACCAGACGGCTATGAAAACCGAAGGGACACCTTTGACCGGTAACCAAATCGATAGAAGTTGCGGATTTCTCTCCATGGACTGGGAACCACCCAGAAGATGTTTTAAACGAACAAACAGCAAAGCAGGGACACTACGACCGCACTCAAGTATCCCAGAACGAGTCAAACACCGCACGACCCTCGTTATATGCACAATTGAAGCACCGTTCCGGTCTGCATATGCTTTCTTCCGTTTTTGCCGCGGCTCTAGAAAAGAGACAAAACCATAGCATGGTGACTGCGCCATCGACCTTTAAGCCACCTCCACGAGTAACCCTAACTGATAATAAACGTGAGGCCTGGCTCCGTGATCTAGCTAACCCGTCTGTTCCGCTGCGCAAGTTGAGCCGAACGATTCCTCATGGTATCCGGGGAAAGTCCCTCTTGGACCAATGCTTAAACAAAGGTATCCCAGTCAGCCGAGCCGTGTGGCTTGCAAAGTGTGTCGGTGCCAATGAGATCCGTGCGTTCAAGAGGAAAGGAACGAGTGGTACATTAGCGCTAGGCTTGGAAGCAAAATGGGTCCGTGACTGGACAGCAACTGTTCAGCAGTTCTTAGAAGGAGTACTAGGTGCCTGCGGCTCTGCGCAATGGAAAATGAAGATGACATATGCGTATGTAACTAACACGTTGTTCGCATAATTCAAGTGCTAACAGCTCCTAGGGTGAGCTTAACAGCTCGCTTGTTCTTTGAACGTCTGCTCGACCACGACCAATATCTTGGATGGTTCTTGTCCTCGCTAGAAGCCGCGCCGGTCAATACAGTTCCTGTTTGGCTATTGATGCTTGGTATCTATTGGGACAATATCATGCGATATCGGAAGCGTGGGCGGCGGTTAGCCGAATTGCTGCTTGTGAAGTTGCGCCAGGTACGTGCACTGATATTGACGGTTAATACCCTACTAATCAGACAGCAGGTCACCCAGCCGGAAAAGGTTGGTCAACTACAGCCCCTCGTAGATCGGTTATCTCTTTATGTCAGGAGACTTGTTCTGGAGCATACCTCATCTATGGTTCTTCCAGGTTCATGGGAAAACCACAAGAAGCTTATATCTTCCTGCTTGAACTTGAAGGATAATACCCATAGAACGATTTACCAAAATCTCTCCGAACGCAATTCGCGGTTGCAGCTACCCAAGAATCACCGAGACACAGCTGAACGGTCACCACAACAGCGTGTCATTCAGCTGTTCGACTCCATCCGCTCCGCGCATGACATCTCTTCCGCCTCGGCTGCATGCCTGAAAACGATAGAGGATAAAGCTGTTCTCATTTCCAAACTCCTCGAGTGGACGGCTACCCCGTTTCGTTATGGTCTTTGCCGTGTATATACTGGCGTCCGTCTTCTGCGCAAGTGGAAGATGTCTGGGATCGATGTTGACTCATATATCCTTTCTTTCCTCGCTGATGTTCGAGTGTCCAGCGCATTAAACATGGAAAATATCTACCATATCATTTCAGAGCTAGTCAGGTCTCAGACATTCTCTGTAGGTAGGTACCTGCAATGGCTGATGGCGAAAGGTGTCACAAACACCACCCAGCCCGTATCGAGTGACCTCTGTCTCCTAAAGCAACTGCCAGCCAATCGCCTCCCAGAGCATGTGCGAAACCTTCGTAATACGCTCCTTTACCGGGCTGGAATCACGGTGATGGAGGAGGACTCTGCCATTGCAGAGCTCAAAATATCAATTGCTCAACGACTGCCCAATATCTTCGGCGCTGAAATGGACAGTGCAATGCCCACCGAATCATCAGAGCCCAATTCCACTTGGGCTGTCAAATCCGAAATCGGACAGTGGATTCGCCGCGGAGTTGCTGAGCATTGCCGCGACTCACCTAGGTATGCTTCTCTACTCTCTAGGAGTACTACTCCGGCTAACAGCTACAGGAAAATCTCTGGGGTCTCCGTGGCGGTGGACCCAGGTTTATCCGCCCTTACTCCTGACGAGTTCTACAGTGTCAGGGAGATCTTGGAGACTTTCGGTGATCTCTCGATGCTGGCAGACATACTAAAGCATGCTACTCATTGTGATGACGATGTTGTCCTGGCTTCGGTTGCTGATACGGTCAATTGCCATTTTGACTGCTTCTGTGTAATTGGTGCTACGTCTGATCTCTTCAGGGGCCTCGTTGAGTCGTATGCTCGTCTTAAGAAACTGGGAAATGCAAGTTTGGACTTGTTGTTTTCACTCATCGAGTTAGGGCTCCGGATACCCAGTGAATTCAACACCGTTGCTCTCTTGCGTCAGGACCTTACTCGCTTAGAGAGCAAGTCAGCTTTGGCAGCGCCGTCCCCGCTTTCGGATAGTATTCCCTTAGCACTCAGTGATGTCGATCCTTCTTTTCAAGAGAAGTTAAACCAGCTTCTCTCGTCTGGGGGTGGCATGGATGAGTCCACGATGGACACGGTCTTCTATTCGCTTATACATATACTAGAAAGTAGCGGCAGTCCCGCGAAACTGTCAGCAAATGAAACCGCTAGGTATCTTGCTTATTTGCGGCTGTTCCAACCGAAGCATTTCGATACAATGCTGATTCGTTGGATATGTGGGCTTCTGAAGTCCTCTGCCCCGTCGATGTCTCGAATTCTCCCTCCTCTCATCGGAGTTGGCTGCGTCACCATACATGCGTTTGTATTTTTGGTGAAAAAGCTTTTGCAGTCGGAAAAGGTGGCTGCTGTAATTCCCAACCTGGCTGGATTGCGGGTGGACCTGCTTCAGCTTCTTATTCCTCTAGTATCAGGAAAAAGTAAATATGCTGACTTGGTACGTCAATTCTCATATCTATCTAGAATGCAGCACTAAACTTGTTTGTTCAGGTTACATACCGTTTCTATGTCGCACAACAAGAATTTTTTCTGAAGCACCCTCAGGAGACCCTCGATATAATATGCGATGCAGTTGGGTTGGTTGATTCAGAGACCGGACTCAATTCAGAACAGCCCGACATCTCAAAATGTGCGATAGACTTGCTCGATATCCTTCTTACACAGAATCCTGAAGTTACGGTCCAATACTGTCTGCAAGGCTTTATTGGAAAGCATTCAACTTCAACAACCGTCCTGCAAAGGGCTCTGGATAACCTCTTGGGCTTTGATTCACTCGCTGGTTAGTAAAGCGAATCTCGATTCTTGCTCATATTGCTAACACGCCGCCAAGGTCCATGTACAATGTCCGAGGCAGAAAAGGTCGTCCGCATGACTGATGACTTCTCCCTTCCATTTTGCCAATTGAAACTCCAAATGCTTTTCAATGCAGAATCTGGCCGTAATGTGGGCAACGGTATCGTTGACGTGATGTTCAAGGCCGCTGTGGAAGATACACGCTCAAAAGGATCAAATTGGGTTGGTTTCGTGGGCCTCATGAGCCAAGATGTAATAAGACAGGTACGGAAACACGACTATTACCACAAGGCTTTCCTCCTAAACTGACCTTTTTTTTTGTTTTCTCTTAAGATTCGGGAGCGAGCCGAAAGAGCTCTCTTTTCTATCCCATTATTCGAAGAACATCTTGAAGCCCATGGACCCTCGGCCACAGCCAAGTCCCTGGAGACAGCAAAACTGTACCTGACAATAATCGAGAAGCTTGCTTATAGTGTGCCCGAAGCTGGAGTCCAGTCTGTGGCTCCCGTTCTTGTCGAGAAAATGGATCTACTTCTCCACCGGCTTGTTATCATGCAAACCAACTTCAACAACATCACCACTAATCGACACGGCGCGGCTACGACTCAAATTCTTCAGTCTCGCTCAAACTTCGAGAGGGCTCTCGCTTTCTGGTTCTCTGCTTTTCTAAGGATGATTGTGATTCACCGTTCTGCGTTCACTGTGCCATCCCCAGCGCCTAAGCCCAACGGCCTGCAGGAACAGTCTCGTTTGCTGATCTCGATTCTTTGCATATCCCTTGCACGCCTTCCAGACAGTGTAATACGCCTTTTCCCGGCGGCTGACTATTTCCCTCACCCAATACCATCTCAGGGTTACCGTCCTTGTCCCGGAATTCTGCTTCAGACTCATGCGTTGGACGTCGCTGCCTCCCTGATCGACACGTTCCCAGATGAGGCTCGGCAACATTGCGCCCGTTTCCTCAAAGAAAGGTGTCCACCCTTTCTTCAGTATCAAAATGACTCTAGATTTATTTACCTTCTCGGCCCCATGAGCGACGCAGCAGCACTGAATAACTTGCAGGCTGCTTCTCTTCCATCACCTGCCGCCGGGGGTTCTACTCCAACTCCAACACCGTCGGGCGCCCTGCCCGGCGCTCCATCTAACCCACAACCACCTGCTATGACTCCTGCAGGTACCTCAGCGAGTCTTTCGGAAGGCATTAATTGCGTTGCTAGCCATCTTCGCCTCCAATACCGGGGTCGTGTTATGGGACCCTACCCGGTACGCCCTTGGGAGCTACTTGAAGATGCCGCACCAATCGTAGGGGTGAATGATACCGCTGTGAACCTCAAATATTTCGACGCCAGACGAGTTCGGGCTTAGATTTTCTCTACGGCCTACGTCCCTGGCTTATGAGCATCCTCTTATATCTACGTACATAATTTCTTTTCTTATGGTTCCTGGGTTGTTGTTTCTGTTCACCGCTTGATACCATCTCCATCTGCATATAATTTTGCCTCCGACCATACACCACGATCGTACCTTTGACTCAAGCACACATCCAGTTCTGCCATATTTCGTGACCATGGTCCATTTGCATGTGTGATTTTTTTTTTGGGCTTTTTCTTATTTATTACATGCATTGCGATCACTGCGGAGTGACGAGTGACTATGCTTGTGGCGGTACATCTGGCAGTGACGTCCGCGTGTTACAAGCCCTCGTTTTGTTTGTACCATGAAATTTGTATATAGAGAAGGTCTGGCGTATACTGGGTGGGTGGTTCATAGCATATGGGTTCGCATATTTAGCATATAGTCTGAACAATAGCATCATCTTATGAATACAAGGGTCACAATGACTAATGAATCTGGAGCTGGTGTAGAACAAGAGTTGATTACCTTCCGAACGAGTAGTTTGATATACGGAGACAAGAGACTTGCCCATAGTTCGCGGTTTGTGATATTGACCGTAGGTTTAATAACAGCTCAAGATTAAACAAAAATGGTCAAAACTACAGAAACCTGTACCGTACCTGATCACCTGACGCCCGGTCCCACCTGACGCCCGATTTTTTGATATACACCGACTTTTCGATACTTTTCAAACCACCATAACTCTGCCAATATGGCTTCAATTGAGGCAGCGATAGCTGAGATCGAAAGCTTAAAACCAGGAGAAAAAATAAATTACACAAAAACTGCCAAGAAATATGGTATAAGCAGGTCTACACTATCTCGACGTCATCGTGGTGTTCAACATACTCGAGCAGAGCAATATAATGATCAACGAATCCTCAACAACGAGCAGGCCAAAACGCTTATAAAATGGATCAATGATCTAACTGATAAAGGCCTTCCGCCTACGTTTGAAATGCTACGAAACTTTGCTAAGGAAATTACTGGAAAGAAGCCAGGAAAACAGTGGCCAACTCGATTTTTGAAGAAATATGATGATCAGCTTACTGCCCGCTATACAACTGGAATTGACTCCCAACGCAAGCGAGCTGATTCGGCGTATAAATACTCTCTTTACTTTGAGCTAATGGCC